TACATACAAGCACAGAGGTACAAGTACGCTATTCCACCAGCAAATTGGTTAGCTTCTCTGATAAACAGACTAAATGCACGTGCCTCACTCAGTCACAGGCACATTTCAGACCTTTAAGGAAGTTGGTTGATTCGAGTCAAGGCCATCTTGGAGTATGTTAAATACCACATCCCAGAAGAAAGACAAGGATATTCGGTATGAGTTGGAGAGATTCGAACGCACGTCCTTTGGGTACAACAATAAAATGTGTAACCATTATACAAACCACTGATACTGATGTTGTCTTAGCTGTCGTAACTCACTAGGGAAGTGGTACAGACTATAAACTGTTTAAAAAGTCAAACTGCTTTGTGTCATACACTTTTTTATCTCTCTATTTAGTTGGACATTTGCCTCAATGCCTCTACTCTTCCTTTAGCTAATTTTCCTCTTTCCTAATGATGCCCAGTTAGGGTTTATCTTTCTTCTAATACTATCATACTTTTGGAACCTGGTGGATCAGTTTTCCTGCTTTTCATTCCAGGTTCTGACAGTCATCGATCCTGGTGGGGAGTACAAAGAGAGAGAATATACAAAGTAAATCTGATGAATCCGAGATGTTGACAGTTCGTGCAAAGACTTTGGAAAATAAATCAGAGTCAGAGACACTTGAGACTTTTCATTTAATCGAGGTTGATAATAAAGCTAGTGAGACAAGATGCCTTTGTTTGACTGCCGGATGAATGGTTTGTTCTCTGTGTCTTTCACCCCTTTGAAGGTTGGGGAAAATGTTGTCTTTAACAACAACAGTATCTCTCCTGTTGTTTACGTTTAAATGAAATTAACACCCTCCCCCCCCCCCCCGACAACAAGACTTCCTCAAGTGACAGATCTGAAAAGGCTCGTATGACCTTATGCAGTTGCGAGATCCGTAAAACCTTCCTAAAACAATTAAAGAAAAGGCAGTTGGAGGTCATGCTTCACCTATTATTTTCCGCATTGATGTTCTCAAAAAACGTATATTATTATTACCCTGGTCTCTTCTCGTCGCCCTTCTGTTCACACTACTATCTACTAGTCACAGAACTAAATAGTCCACTGCTTCCCTCATAAGTACAAGGCTTACAATTCTCCCATATGCGTTATGTTACCTATACGCTAGTCTCTCTCGATAGGAGGTTGTTTCTTTCCTCCTAACCCAGTCTGTAACCAGCTTTGGTATGTGCTGTAGATCGAAACCAATCCTCGAAGTGACCGTCTTTGTATCTTGCAAGATGTTTAGGGAGTTCTTACAAAGAAACCCCTCCCCCACAAAACCACCCAAACTAAACACCCCCCCCCCAGCAAAACGATAGCTAGTTTATGCTGTGTTTAAGTAGTACAAGGTACTCATCCACGTCTCAGTGAAAAAATCAAATTCTGGCACAAAGGACGAAACATTAAATCTGAAGTCACTCGGATTTGAACTCCCAGGATGTTGGACTCATTAGTCGAAATGGGCAGTATAGAAGGGTCCAAGCAAATGAGAAAAAAACCCCAACCATATCGACAAAGCATTGTTGGTCACACACTTCGGTTTATATTGTTTTCATTAATGATTTGTCTGTGCAGCCGAAAACTCAACATTGAACGAAGAGAAGCGAGTAAAGTTTACATTCGTAGCTGGAGTTTGAATAAGCCACTCCTGTATAGTTTCAACCTAATATCCGTAGTTTTTAAGAAACAAAATATTGCCTAAAGTCGGACTGCTTCAGAACCTTTCCTGGCTCCTGACGAGCATCCCTGCAACTAACAACGACGAACAATTCGCACCTTTGGCATTTTGACAGCCCCATTATTATAATAGACGAAAACTGATCTAAAAAAGAGATAGTGTCGGTATGTGAAATAGTGTTTTTGACTTTTAAGACTATGATGGCATTTTAATGTTTTTATCAGTTCTAACTATACACTAGCTTGAGTCTTTGCTTGTAAATTTGGGATGTAGGCCCCTTTCGACCAAATAAGGATTCACTGAGTGACTATAGTATGAAGTCCAAATCACTGTTCAATTGATAAAGAAAACCTCAGAGAGGCCTTAATTTCCATATCTATACAGGGCAAAACCCCTTGTCCTCCCATATTAATTTACCGATTAGGGTGACTGTGCACATACAATTTAGTTTCTCCGTTGTGTTAGTTGCATAACGTGATTTACGCTTGCTTGAAGGGATGCTATGTCTATGGAAACTCAAATAAGTAGCCAGTTACCTTCCCTGATCTCTCTCTCTCTCTCTCTCTCTCTCTCTCTCTCTCTCTCTCTCTCTCTTTCTCTCTCTCTCTCTCTCTCTTTCTCTCT